ATAACATGGCTAACATGAATAAAAATAATGGTATGGCAAAAAATATTGATATAAAAAAAAAAACTTAAATTTTTTTTTCCCCATGGGGTCTTAGGCTCTTTCAAACCCAGCAACCGCTAGGTTCGAATGCCTAGGTTCCATGAAACTTAGTTGTTGTTGGATTCAAACCTAGCATGCCTAGGTTTCAGTGACTGGAATCAAGGTTTTTAAAATCGGACCAGTCATTGAACAGTTTTTAGGTTCGGTTCCTGATTCAATCGGTTCAATCGATGAACCGATCGGTCCAAACAGCAAGGAACATTTGATGAGAGGAGCAAGCTGCAAGCATGGATTTTTTAACTTGGTGTTTGATAATTTTGTAATTTTGTTAAAATTAAAGGTTAAAATGGGTATAAGAATGGAATGGGAAGGGTGAAATTGGAAAAAATTGAAAGAAGATTGCATAAGAAATTGAACCAATGGTTTTTTCGATTCCACCAGTTTCATCGGTTTTGACTAGTTTTCACCGATTTTTACCGATTTTATCGGTTTTTACCAGTTTTTAACCAGTTTTGACCGATTTTGACATCAAACGATTTTCTTATATAAACCAAACCGTTTTCATCACCGGGTACCGATCCGACCAGTTCAACCGACCGATCCGATCCGGTTTTAAAAACCTTGGCTGGAACTTAGCGGCCACTAGGTTCTTTCAAACTCAACGTGCCTAGGTTCCATGGAACTTAGTGGCCTTTGGGTTCGAACCCAGCATGCCTAGGTTCCAGTGGTTGGAACCCAGCAGCCATTGGGTTTAAAAGAACCCAACAAATTTTTTGTTTTGTGCAAAAAATCAAAATGATTTTATGTCTTTTGTGAGTTTTGTTATTTGATGATGATGAAGAATTGATTGATGAAGAATAAAATTTCACTTCATTAAATTGATTGTTTAATTCAGAAAAATAGTGATGAAAGTGGACTCATAGGAGGCAAAGATAGAGAAAAGAAAGAATGAATGAAGAAGATTTGAGAAGGAGAAGGTTGGAGGAAAAAGGTAAGAGCAAAATTGTAATTTTGATGGGTCCTACTCTTTTTTTTTGTGGTTGAGCAAGAATATAGCATGTCATGTTGCCATGTCATCATTTTTTTTCATTTGTACATTTGACATGTTTCAAAATTTTAACATGTTAGTAAATCCTATGAGTTAATGGTGAATTTTTAATGGAAAAACTAAATTAGGGACAAATTAGTAAACAATAAGAACTAAATTATAGATTTTTTCTGTACAATAATTAAGGGACCAAAAGGGGGTTTAACCTATTTTTTAATATACACAAAAACATAGTATAGAACTATAGGTGTGTATTCCACTGTTTAAATTCAATACATTACACATATAAATCAAGAAAAACTTGAAGAAACTTCACATGTATGAGAATTAAATTTACAATCTCAAAATTATGAGACCTTATGATATCTTTAGGTCCTTAATTAAGTACATACTACCCTTCGGGAACATTTCTATGGGGTATGGTTAATTAAGCTTAATTACGTTAGTATTTCCAAGTTCAATTATTTTTGTGGTTATGCGCTAATGTCCATTGGTTCAAACTCATAATCATAACCTTCTAGATCTTTTTTTTTTTTTCCTTCTTTTTAAACACATGAGAATTTTAGAAAAAGGAAAATTCTTATAGTATTTAAATAGATTTGAACTGAGAAACTATTAAGGTTTAAAATTTGAAAAAAGAAAAAAAAGAAAAAAAAGAAGAAACTATCATTTAGGACATTTTATATATGTAGAGGTGATATCTTAGGTCGATAATATGCAGATTAAACAAATTCTTATAATGAAAAGTTAATGAAAAGAAAAAATGAGGTTTAAAGTCTAATATTTGTTAGGTTAAACCCCAATTTAGTTCCTCAACTATTGCATAAACTTTTTAGTTAGTCTCTAAACTAAAATAATTTTTGATTTAGTCCTTAAAGTTTCTAAATGTACTTTTTAAGTAAGTCTCTTCATTCAAAAACAATTAATGAGTTTTGTTATTAACATAACATGTGACTGTCAAGTAACGAATTTTTGTTGTTTAAGTAATGGATACATACATCAGCTGGTTTTTTAACGAAAGAATTAATTTGGAGTTAAATTTAAAAATTTTAATGATTAAATCAAGAATATTTTTACTTTAAAGATCAACTCAAAAGTTCATACAATAATTGAGGGACCAAATTAAAAATTTAACCTATCTGTTGGGGTGATATTGTGATAATGATTGTCAGCAAATGAATACGCAGTCATCGTGTCACTTGAAGCAGAGGAAAGCTCATGTAGTGATTCAAAGTCATTTTACTATTTCTGTCCAAGAAAACGGCGCCGTCACCTCTCGTCCAAGACTAATTCCTCATCTTAGTTTGTTCTTTGATTATATACTATTGACTTTAGCGGCTGAGGCGACATGATATGGCGTCAAGGAAGGAAGGAAGGAAGGAAGGAAGGAAGGAAGAGATAGAGCCGGCCGGTAGTAATAGTTACATAATTAATGAAGGACATTAAATTGTGGGGTTGTTGGCCAGAAGCCCTTTTGTTTGACTTCTACTTTGTTGGGTTTGGTCTCTTTTGAATTTCCAGGTACTAGCCTGATATCTTCAGATCAACGAAAGTCATTGGTTTGACCCAGCTCAGCTAGCCAGCCAATTTCTTGATGAATTTTAAAACATTCCTTTAATTCACCGATCAGTGAATACAAAACTGCTTCTAACATTATGTTGCCGTCAGAAATCTTGAATACCACATCAGTACCTTAGCTCCAGACAGAGTTGTGCACTTGAAGCTTCTTGCAATGAAAGTATGAAACCCTCCATGTTAAATTTTGTGAAAATTGTGTACGTAAATTTAATATAAAATTTATATTTAATTTAAATTTAATTGATAATAAGTAAGGTAATTTTTTTTATATTTAATTCATAAGTTTCTTTATTATATATTTGATGTGAATTTTTTCCACTTAACAAATTCTCTAACTGCAAAATTTAACTTTCATTTTAGGTTAAATGTTAAATTTGGTCCCTCAACTTTAGTGAGTTGTATATTTTTGGTCCTTCAACAATTTTTTGCACTTTTTTTATCCCTCAACTGTACAAAATGCACTCCGTTAGTCTTTCTGTTAGTTTGGGCTGTTAACCCTGCTTAGGTGGCATTTTTTATATTTTTTTTTATGATGTGGAAAGCAAAACTTAAAAAGGTGATGATTTGCATAAAACTTTTGTCATGTCACAGGTTACCTGGCTGAAAACGCACAAAATCCATCCAAATGGGTCCCACATCACCACTAAGAATTGCTTCTTTCCTCGTCTATTACTATTTCTATTTTTTTCATAAACGATGTTCTTTCCATTTTCAAAATTGAAGTTTGACAGAACATAACCCAGCAAATACATTCCATCGAACTCAACTAGATTCACTAAGCTCAATTGCCCAAAAATCCCTGCAATTTGGATAATCTCTTGGCAAACAATCTTATAACCAAAAAAAAAA